ATAAGTTTCTTTAAAATTAGTACAGCTCTAAAAGAAATGAGTATCATATTAGCTGTTCATTTTTATGTTATTTTACCACATGAAGTATATATCTTAGAAGTTTAGTCATGGATTGCAGTAAGGAAGCCACATTGCTTGTAAAATACCAGGCCTGAGGAGAACCCAGAGTGAATATACTGAATTGCTTCTGGTACCTGAGGGAGCTTGGCTGTTTGTTTGGGCAGAAATGCAGCTTTTCCTCAATGTGCTCTCTTGTGCCCCAGGCAGGGGTCAGCAGTGTTTATGGCTAAGTGACTGCTGCCCCTTAGGGTGTAATTAAAGTTACATCATTTTAGCCATAAACTGCTCTTCATTCCAAATTTATAATTTTTTAATTTATAATTTATTTATGGTGTTTGTGATAAGATTAAATAAAGGTAAAAACCTGTATCTAGCAGCTTTCTATTTTCAAGTATATTCTTTAACTTAATTTAAATAATACTGTTCTTCTTGTATAAAATACAATTGTGTTTGTCTTGGAGTTTGGTGTTACAGAAATTCTGTGCTTGCTTTGTGCAGCTGATTATTGCACAGCAGGGCCAGAATGATGCAAATGAAGGGGCAAATTCAGGACAAAGACCTTGCAACCCCCTAACACTTCTCAGAGGGTGTCTTCTCTGAAAGGGCTAGTGCTGCCATGGAGGGTCCTGCTCAGCATCCAAGTATAAATCATCATCCAAAAATGTGGTATGGGTCAGATTGTTTAGCTTTTCCAAATTCCACATTTGCATATTACTGCTCTCATCTCTAAAACTGGCTTGGATTTTATGACTTATTTTGCAGTCAGATGCTGATTTTGAAAGCATAAAATTAAGAAAAAAATTTTTTTCTTATATGATCAGCCAAGTGAAGCTGGGTGAAACAGCTGCAGTCATTATTACAAATCTTCTTGACTTGTGGGTTGACCATCAGAGTTATATAAAGAAAAAGTAACTGTGGAAGATTTAGAGAAGTGCCTGGCATTGCATGCATATTTCTAGTAAATGGTATTACATTTCTCTGACTCTTCCCAAATTCTGCAGCTAACTTGTGTTGTTCAGCGTGTCAGGTGCTTCTCATTGCCTCACTGTTAACTCCCTATAGTAACAAAGTACTAAATGAGGGTTCTTAAAAAAGAGGGAAAAGGACTTTTTCATGGGCAGATAGGACAAGGGGTACCAGTTTCAAACTAAAAGATGAGAGTGCTGACAAAATTTCAATTAAAGTACATGTGTGGAGTACAAAAATACCGAAGGATTTTAGAATCATAATTAATTTACAGTGAATGTCTTTCAATTGATAACATACATTGTATTTAATATTTTGAGACTAAATACTGGTGCATTAAATAGGTCAAAACTTTAATCATAAGTCATAGCAAAATACACATTTGTTGCTTTAAAGTAGTTCAGTGGAATTAGTGAAAGCAGCCTAGATCCCCTCATAAGCTATCTGAAGCTAAGCCAAAAATAGTGGATGTTAATTCCATTTCTATCCTAATCCTTTCTCTGCTTGTCTAACAATTTTCTATATAGTCATAACTATCTGCCTCAAAAATTCATACTTTCTTATTTGTGTATTCAGATGTGAATTTCCTTTGAAATTTTAAAACAAAATCTTTCAGACAGACTCAGAACTTAAAGTAGATACTTTTGAGTAAAATACCTTTCCTATAAGTTATATTTTTACATTTTAAAAATGAAAGTTAAACCAAGCACTCTGCTCTGCCCAGGACACAAAGAATGAGTTGTTTTGGGTGCCTGTGTACCCACAAAATCAGTGTTGTTCTATCCATGTTTCATGTGGGTAATCCATTCCTGATTAGCTGATCACAAAATACAAAGGAATTGCATGGCTGTGATGTTGAAGAGGTTCCATGTTTTGGGGTTGGATTTTTAAAAGATTTGGCACCTCATTCTCTGTACATGGCCCACCCCTCTGGCAGAGGTGTGGGAAGGCCCAACCAGACCCTTCTGCTTCCCAGCCTTTCCCAGAAGCCAGGGGCTGGGCCCTGGGCTCAGTGGGAGCTCTGGCGCCCTGGGAGGTGTGTGTGCAGTGTTGGGCCTCTTCTCAGGGGGTTTTGTGCACCCTGAGCAATCAGTGCCAGCAGTGCGTGTGTGAAATGCAGAGTTTGGAAAGGCCCAAGGCCATAGGAGGATTATTACAATTATGCTAGCATGGAACACTGCTCTGTCTGAGCAGCAATGTTCAGAGGCTGTTGGGAGTAGCTGGTTAAAATATTCTGCATGTACACGTGTAATATGTGTCACATTGGCCCATGTTCAGTCATGATTTCACCTGCAGTGGGGCAAAAATAAATTTATTCTGAGTTTTCTTTGGAGGTTTCCTTGCCAGCATCACCCTGGCTGTTGCTTTCAGTGATGTTTGGTCTGCTTCATCCATCTGAATATGTTGGGTGTGAGGTGACAAATGAGTTTCAAATGCATCTCTTCTTTCAGTTACAGAGGCTTCTACAGCAATGCCCATTGCTACATAAAGAAAGAAACAGAGCCTTTGTTTCTATGTACATGTAGGTATTTGAATGCTGCAAACTTTGTAAGAGAGCCCTTCAAGCTTCCCACAGCCCCATTTGTAACAGGATATGTTTGAAGCTTCCTTTCATCTGAGTCTCAATATTTGTGCCTGAGGATTGCCATTAGTAAGTGTTGTTTCATCCAGGTGTGTGTGAGAGCCTTTGCAGGTGTTATCTTTTAAAGAGATTAAATGTAAGGTTTTCACCTTGTAGGCAGCTATTGCTCTGGTGTTTAATCCTCTTGACTCCTTTGAACCCTGTGCAGACTATACTCATGTGCAGAAGTGACTGCAGGAGAGGTAACATGGATGAAGGATGGGAATTCACCTTTTTTCTGCATACAGTCCAAATTGGAGCAACCCTGTGCTAGAGGATATTGCTGCTGGTCACAAGTCCCTGGTACACAACCCACAATGACAACTTTTGTAAGAATGTGATTGCAAATATTAATATTTTTTTAATGTTGTCATGCTCGATTAAATTCATGATGGAAAACAGCCAACACCAGTGGATTTCAGGTGATGGGAAAATTGCAGCCTGTTAGCTTGCCAACATTTACAATGGAAATGGAATTAATTACAAGCAGTGATATCTGCCTGGATCAGCTGTAGAGCTCTTGGTTGGCAGAGGGAGCAAAAGGCATGTTCTTATCTGTTACACTGGTACGTGACTCTTGGAGCCTGTCAATATCACTTTAAAAGGATCACATATGAGGGTGCTGAATGTGAGCCCTTGCAGCCACTGTGTCCTTGATGGTAGGAGTGAACTTCCCTGTGACATTTGCAGAGTGCCTTTGTTCACCATGTGTATGTACCTTTCCTCTTCCACACATTCGTTTTTATTGTAGTGATACAGCGCACAGGAAATTGTGCAGGTTTCTGTCAGAGACCTGCTGAGGAGGCAGAGTGCCTAGAGTATATCTGAGGGAAAGTTGTCTAAAATGAGAAATTCTGGCTTTCACTCTTCATCTGCACAACAAACTTGGCCTGGAAGCAATGCACAAATACTCTGGATATTTCTGTTCAACACAGTGAGTTCTTGTGGAAAAGACATATATGTATTTGTGAGGGTAGATACAGATATGTATGAGCATATTAAAATACCTTTAGTTGCACAAATGTTGAAACACCTCTGTGACACCAAGGCAGTGTGTGTAGTCAATCAGTGGAAGATCTGATTCAATCAGAAAAAATGGATCTCTAAATCTGGTGAGATTCAAAATCTTCAATCACAACTCCCCTGAGATGTAAAACTGCTAACATAAATGTTAATAATGTTTAGGGTACTGCTCCCCTGGTAGAAACAAGGGTTTGCTAAAAATAGAAATGACTGAGTGCACTATAAAAAAGGACAGAATATCTGCAAGGCTTTGGCTAAAGATTTTCTTGTTTCATTTTTACCCTGCCTCTGGTGTCATGAGTGCACCCCTTCCACAGCCAGCATGGACTTGTGGATTTGCAAAGGTGAGCAGCCTGAGAGCCCAGAGCGTGCACCCTTAACAGAGGCAGTGCTGGGGCGCAGATCCCCCTTACAGAGAGAGGGGAATTTCTCCTCCAGCCTTTCACTGGGTCCCTCTTTGCAGCCAGCTCCTGTGGTGCCAGAGGTGAGCACAAGCTGGAGTGCTGCCCAGCACTGTTTGTTCTGGGAACACTGGCAGTGACCCCACGCTGGCTTGGTAGAGGTCATTTCCTTGGCTTTCATGTCATCTCTGTCCCAGGGGGTCAGAACAACTTTGTCCATACCTGCTGTACACTTGTGTGGCCTCAGGGAAAACAGTGGACTGAAACAGTGATCTTCTTGTAACATGAAATATCAAGAAGTTTGTTAGGAAAGGTGTGGGGGGAAAGGAGAACTTGTTCAGTTGTTGCAGCTTCAAGGTTTATAAGCTCCATCACTGACTGGATCACTTCTGAAATGACGGTGTCAAGAGAAAAGCTAAACTTTTTTTGTTGTTGTTTTGATGATACAGTTAATATCATTGGCTAAATGGCCACTGTGGTGAAAAGCTCTCTGGTTGAAAAATACTTCTGTCTTTGCTTAAGTTACATGACATCTCTGGATGTCCCAAAAATGGCTCCAGTGAATTAGGGGAGATGCAATGAATTAGGGTAATGTTGGATGGATGAATTAGGGTAATGTTGAGGTAGTTATTGTTAAAAGATAGAAAACAAGGAGGATTTTTTCCTTTTGTGTTTTATGAATTGGAAAAAAACTCAGCAGAATTTTTAAAAAATCCTGTATCTAATTTAGAGAAAAACTCTTTGGAGAAAGCAAAAATGGAAACTGACTGGTCTGAGTACACTTAGACTAGAGTACTGTGTATTTTAGAAAGTACTTGTGAATTGTGGAAGGCAAGAAGCCCAAGGAGGTGGTCAGTAGAGATTATAGTTTCCAGTACAGTTATTTCCTACTTAAATTGTGTCCTTTTCTTTTCCACCATTTCTTGCAGATCTCTCTTTTTTGCCATGTCATCTGACAGCCACCAGCTCCACACCCATTGCTACCAGGACTCACTAAGTTCTACTTGTCACAGTCTCTTGAATGTCAACAGTCACCCCCTGTCCAAGAGCTCCTCAAGTCTGGCCTGTATTGGGCACTCAAGGAGTTTTGAGGAAAGGCAAAACAAGCAGGAGCTGAAGAAAAGCCACAGTAGCACCATCTGCCATGTCCTGGAAAACAGGAGTGATGCAAGGAGCGTGCAGAGTCCTGAGTGGTCCTCCTCACAGCCTGGGATGGTGGGACTTGGATCAGAGGTCCAAACCGTAAATGACCAGTCAGCCAATGACCATTCAGAGGGAAGAACTAAGAATACAAACCATGTTCTTGTCACTGAGCAATCCTCAGCATCCTGGGGAGTGGGGGACACTAAGATGTGTGTGAAGAGCAGCACTGCTGAGAATGTTTCTTCAGCCTGCTTTCTTCACCAGCAAGGCATGTGTAAAATGGAAGAATCAGGAATTGCCCTCCAGAGAAGCCACTCAGACCTAACCTGCAGCTGCAAACAGCAGACTCATGTGACTCACATAGAAACCAGTGCTACTCACTCCAGCCTCAGGTCTTCTGGTTGCAGGCATGGTCCACCAGAGGCTAGGATGTCTTTCCAAACTCAGAGATATGGATCAGAAACAAGTCAAAATGCATCTCACTATCAAAACCTTGTGACTCATCTTCCAGTCCTACCTAGGGACCAACAAGTACCCACAAATACCTTTGACAGTGGCAGTATTCCACGTAACACCACTGTTTACACAGATCCTGGCACGTTTCACGCTGCTGTTCTAGGACCCCACGTGCCTGGAAACGGTTTCCCAAACAGGACAACGTTCAGTCAAGCCCCTGGGATTATTCATGGTGGTCTGACTTATCCAAACTCTGCCTACTCCCCCATGGTGATGACAGTTCACAACAACTCAGCAGGGCCCTGCAGTCTCAGGCAGGACGCCTTGAAGGCAGACGCCACCATCCCGGCCTATTGCCACTCCTTGCCCATCCCATCCATCCAGCTCATCCCACGGCTGGTGTGCTCTGTCAGTGAGACAGGAAAAGAGCAGGCAGCCCCTGGCTACTTCCATTCCTTTTCTGCTTCTGACATTCTGACATACCCTAAGCTGGTGTCTTCAGTGAGTGAGTCGGGCCTGGATGCCAAGAAAATCCTGAAGTGCTGTAACGTTCCTGAAGAACAACTGCAGCCTGCTCCGCAGGAGAGAGCTCCTCCAGAAGCCAAGGCTGCCCAGGTTGCTCTGAGCAGCCAGCAGGGTGCAGACATGGCAGTGACAACTAAGGATATGTGGACTATGACCTCTATGAATGACATAACCAAGGGCCTGAAACCAGCTCTGGAGCGCAGAGATGCCCAGGTACAAACTCTTCCAACCATGGAATGCAAATCAGTGGCAACAAGCCCAGCAGCTGCAGCAGAAGGTCACTCACACGTGTTCCCAGAGGTGAACCTGGAGCAAGGCTTGGAGGCCCCCAAATCTCCAGTTCGTGAAGTGAGATGGGATGATGAAGGAATGACGTGGGAAGTGTATGGGGCATCTGTGGATCCAGAAGTCCTTGGGGTGGCCATTCAAAAACATCTCGAGTTCCAAATAGAACAGTTCCAGACAGTGCCTGCTGAGGCAGCTGAGAAATGTAATGAGGAGCCACCCCCTGACAAAGCTGGGAAAAAAAGGCCTTTCAGGACAATGATGCATTCCCTGAGATATCCGAGCTGTTGTGCTCGCTCCAGTACTGCAGTGGAGTGAGCACAGCAGCAGGGTGTAGGAAAGCTCTGCTGCTTTTATTTGTACATAAATGCTGACTCTTAAGTGTGAACACAGGATATGTGAACAGTCCCCACCAGGATGAGTGGGCAAAGTTCAGTGATCATCAAATACACGTTAAAGCAAGGAGAAGTCCATGGCTGGACCATATCAAAGAAAACATAAGCTTATACTTAAATAATGCCATCCAAATGCTCTTGACTGTATTTAATGTAGCACTGTTTCCTTCTACATTAGTTTTAAACTGTATTGTAAGGAATGGAACTTCTTTTTTAATGATACGTATTTTTGAAATAATGATGACTTTTTTCTGTATTTTAATAATTTAGGGTTAGAAAAAATGCTTTAATCAAAGTTCTTAGCTTTAAATCTTATTCCCTTAAATTGTTTTGGCAGCTGTTTTGCTGTTAATTTAATAATCCTGACTATAAACTCGCTTTAACTGTAGACAAAATAACAAACTTGTGTAATGATCTATGACAAAGAATTGTAACTTTTTTCTACATAACTGTGAAGTAATTTCAGTGTTGCTAGTCTGAATTCTTCCCTTAGCAAGCTCATGTGCAGTTGGAGAACACTCCATCAACTTTCCAATTAGTTTGTCGTTATGATGAATTACACTCTAAATATCCAGAACTCACGTTTACCAAGTGGTTGACACAAAAGTACAGTGTTACCAAAGATGGCTGGTGTAATGTGAATTACTGAGTGCTTGTTTTAGAGACCTGAAACAGAAGCTGTTCAGATTAGTCTGTGGCACCACCATACCCCACAACTCACGAGCAGTTTTGGTTTGCTTCCATTAAAAGTAATTTCCAGTGAGTTCTCTTTATGTGCATGTATCCTGAGCAGTGCTTGTTTGGCTCTTGCATAAGCACAGGGACAGTTTCCATGTAACCTTTGCCTGGCTTGTGTTCCCTCTCTGGTCTGACGTCAGGCATCTGCTGAAAGTGAGACCTTGTGTCTTCCCCAGAGGACAGTCCTAAGGTTATTCTGAGTGCCTTGGTCACTTGGACAGCTTAAAGATTTATTTTCTTCTAGAAACAACTTCACAAACAAGTTTTCAGTGAGAAAGCTGTTACGGTAGTGTAATGCAGCTGAAGTGCAGGGCCTGTTTGAAGTAAAAGGTTTGTCAAGGAAGCTGAGAATGCTATTTCTAGTGTCACATGTGCCTTTGGTGAATGCCTAAGATTCTTGGGGAAATGAGATGTGCAATATTTGTTTTATGAGACAGAAGAGAAACACTCATTTCTGTCTCAAAAGAAAATTTGTGGTGTCTGAGAACTTACTGCTGTGGAATTACCGGATCTTACTTTAAATGTGTGGGGTTGTGGTTTGTTGGTTTGGTTTGGTTTTTGTTCCAGTAAGTTAGCAGACTGACATCATAATGTTCACCTGACATTTGCATATCAAGAGGAACTCGTGGTGATTAGGACAGCTTTAAACTTTCATCTATAAAATCCTTAATGTAGGACCTCCTAGTTGGAATGTCCTGTGATGCATTAATTTAATGGTGTGGAGTTGTTCAAGATCAAATTTTCACTCCTGGGCAAAGAGCTGGCTCCTGTGAAATGCACCTGGTGTTCAGGAGGCTTTGTTTACACCCTGGGACTTTGGCCTCAAAGAAGTCTGAGCTCAAAATGAGTTTTAGACAAACCAAGTGTGAAGCCACTGGAATATAATGCCTTACTCAGGATGCCTCTATAGCTGTGAGCGTCTAAGTTCTGCTAATGATTCTGAATGTTAAAATTCCTTTCATTGAAGCTTTAATAGGAGTAAGGAAGTAATGAGTAACTAAATAAAATTACTCTGCTGTTATTTATAGTTTAGCTAAGCAGTTTCTATACAGGTTTATTTTATGGTCCAGAATATTGAATGTTGACTTTTTTTTTCCTTTCTTCAAACATGACACTTTGAGAATTTTAAGCTTTTTAGTGGTATAAAACCTTGTGCTGTCTGTTAGCTTCTCTTCAGATGTGCAGAAGAATTCAAGATTTGAAGAGTCAAACTAAAGCTTTAAAATAGCAAGAGTACCTTCCTCCCACAGCCTTTGTAATCCATATTTTATTTGCCATGTGGAAAAACTGTATTCTCCTCCCCACCCCTGCTGTTCCAAGCACCTCTCCAAAATAAAGCCCCCAGCTGTAGGAATATGATGTAATAAGACCAGTATCAAACTGGTCAGAAAGAGTTTCCAGAAGGCATGGAATAATATGGCAAAGTCCCTTGAATTCTTTGTCTGTTGTGCTATAAAACCTGAAAGAAATTTTATTTCTTGCAGTTCTGGTGTCAATTACTTATGGTTTATGCATTAGTATGGCTTGCTACTACAGTCCTAAATACAATTATCATTCCTGAATGAGAAAAATAAATTACAAGTAAAGGCAAAGGATACCAATGATTTGCAAGTTCAGAAAAACAAGTTCAGAAAAACAGATGCTCACTCATTACAGACATTCTGAATCTTCATGTTTTTAATCAGCGTTGCCATTATTTACTAAATATAGTGTTTATGCTTGAGGACTTCCTACACTTTTGGAAAGGTTTAAAGTACAAGAATATAATGGAAATCTGAGAAAAAAACCAACAACAAACATTCATCTGATTATTAGCTACAGGGATAAAATAAGTTGTTTTATTTGTACAATCGAAGTCTTAATTTTAATTAATTTTGCATTTTGGTGCAGTTTTTAAAAAAATCAAATGCAGCCATTTTGTATATTAAGTATTCTCCACTGAAGTGTTACTCTTGTAAACGTGAGAACTGTGTTTTTAATGTTTTTTAACTTAAGAAAATCCCCATCGACTACCTTCTACTCTTAAATGTAAATATAGTAGCAGGAAAAGTCACACTAGATTTATAACTGAGTGGGCCAATGCTGAACACAGATGCTTGTCAAGCTGGGGTGAAATGGGGTGTATTATGTCTCAAGGCCATTTGAAGAGCAGTGTGCATTGCACCATGCTGCCTCTGCTCCCCCGCCTCAGTGCTCAGGTACAGTTCCAGCTGAGCAGACTGGAGCTGCCTGTCCCAGGAATCCTCAGGGAGGGATGCTCTGGCACAGTGGCTGCTTGATGCTTTTGTTTCAGTGTGCCTTCTTTACCTTAACATGCAGGAACAGCCCCAGCTGATGCAGTATCTGGGATATGTTATGTTTTATACGTTATGTTATCCCTAGACACTAACTGATGTCTCTAGAATGATTTAATTGTATATTGTACATTGATACTTGAGGGCTGAGATTGATCATGGGCTGAGATATTTAGCTCAGTGGCTCAGCAGAGATTGAAGGCAATTGATACTAATATCAGTATGTGCTAAATAGTTCTGAAAATGTGTTAGAATAATTCATTTCATTCTGAAGTATTTACTGTTACCATTCCTAGAGGAGAGACCAAAACCTGTCAGACATGTGGCACTGACTATTATAATTGCAGTTTCAATTTGAGATAATCTTTGACTGGGGTTAAATACTGAAATAGAGGGTATTTTCTCAATGCTTTAAATAAAAATAATCCGTAGTTAAATCAGGTCTTTAAAAAAGCCAAAGCAGCGCACTAAACAGTTGCTTAGTCATTGTCACATCTGTTACTATTAAAATCATTGTATCTGTTTGTTTGGTCCTCACCTGAACATGTTTTGCTTTGAACAGAAAGGAAGCCCTGTTCCACGGAAAGCCTATCTTCCTTCCAGATGTAGCTTAAGAAAGCTTTTGTTGTACAGCTGAGCCAAAAGGCCCCACAGAACAGCACCTTTACACAGTCCTCTGGGAAGGGGTGAGTGAGAAGAGGAAAAGGCAGTCATCTGTTCTGTGCTGAAATGTAACCAAGATGTTTCAGGGAAAAAAGAGCATCTCCACTGTATGGACAGAGCAGTGTGTTTCTTCCTGATCACTTCTCTGCTTGTAGCCAGTAAGAATAATGACAGGTTGCACTAATTGCATTATTGGATAGACATTTAGTCTTTTAAATCCAAAGCAGGAGCGACCTGTCTGGAGATGTGCTGAGGTAAGAGGCCTTCTAGAAGAATGTAAGTCACTATTAAAGAATGAGTAAGAAAAACAATGTAGCTTTGCTCTAGGAAAAGTAATGTGTGCTGAGGTTGGGGTAATCAGAAGCTGAGAGTGAGGTGAGATCGAGGGGCCCCAGCTCCACAGAGGGAACAGGGCTGGGTATTCTCCAGACACTGCTGCTGCCCCCTCTCTCAGGAGCTTTTCCAACTGGGAAATTGCAATGTTAATACTTCATTGCCATCTGTTCCTTTCAGACATGTTGAGGTGATTAATTTGTCTTCTTAAGCCCCTTGAAAATGAAAGCAGTTTATTAGTGCTAAGTAATACTGTTAATTGGCAAGAGAGAAAGAGGCAGCATGTGGGTTTATGAGCTGGAAATAAATCATTCTAATCAACTCTCTTGCTACCAGTTAAATAACTTAGTGGAACTTGCTGTGTCAGTCTCTTGTGTCTTTCCCCTTCAGGGGACTTAGGGTCCAGCATTGATTTCTAAATTTTATTTCTTTCCCCTCCATACAGAGCTATGGATCTGAAATGGAGAATATAATCTTCTGTTTAGCTTCCTTCCAAAGCACTGTTTTTTACACAGGCTACAAGATCCAGCAGACCCTCATCAAAACAGGGGAATCTGAGCCTGTGAGCCTTTGTGCAGAGCCCTGGGCTGCTGGTGTCTGCAGGTTCTGCCTGTCCACAGGTACTGTGTGTCCTGCAAGCCCCTCGTGCCTGCCAGGGAAGGGAGCTGTGGTGCTTTCTGCTGATGCTGTAGTCCAGGTCATCCCACTGCCCTGCCCCTCCACAGGAGCAATTCTACAGAGCCATGTGGTTTTAAAGGGACAGAGATGGGTAAGCTTTGTGGGTGATGTGGATTAGTGCAAATTTTGTTCCTTTTCTTGTTCAGAAAGCAACATGCACACAGCAGTTCTGACCCATGTGAAAATGGTTGTGCTCCCTTTTCACCTCTGCCAGCTGTAATGAGCATGTCCATGTCCATTTCTGTGGGGCAGCACCCTGCCACAGGCAAAACCAGTGGCAGGAAGTTGTTTTTTTCCCCTGGAACTCTTTCACCAGACCTGGCACACAATTGCTTGTGGCTTTTGCTGTATCCATGAAGGGAATGGTGCATGTCCTTTGCCATGACTGCTTGGATGTCCAGCTTCCATCTTTCTCGAGGTGTAGAAATGCTGAGCCTGGAGCTGACAGCCATCACATGTACCAGGGCCAATGTGTTCAGATAGCAGAGTACTAAGCTGTAGCTTGTAAGTCTTTGGGAGCATTAATCCTTTCAGATATGTGACCTCAACAGATGTCATCTGTCTTATTATCAGGCTTTCAGTATACTACGGGCCATGCCTCTCAGATGGCATGTGAAGGAAGCTTAGAAAGCAAAGGGGAGGGACACAGGCAAGGAAATGATGCTGCAGACTTCCATCCCCTTCCAGGCACCTTCTGCTCGCCTACAGGCACTAAAGACAGGTATCATATGTGGTATCACAGGTGTGATGAAGGGGAGTTGTTGTCTCCCGAGGTGTTAAAGGTAGTGGACTTAAGGAATGTGGGTCAGGCGCTCCCTGCACTCCTGCTGGCCAGGATTACAGTCCGAGCTCCACCTGGTGCTCAGCGCCGGCGCACAGCCCCGCAGGACAGACCCGCTCTTCCTCTCTGGCATCTTCTGGTCCCTGCTCACCTCCGGCAATTTTTAGTGTACAGCAGAGATGGGCTCACAGCTTGGGGTGCAGTGGATCCTGCCCAAACCCCCTTTTGTTGGTGCTCTCCAGCAGGCCTGCTGACAGGCAGCTTTCTGTGGTGCAGGCAGCACACAGAACTGTCCAGGCCTGAGTGCCAGCACCTGACCTGTGCTGTGCTGCTGGAGCTTGAGGTCCTTCCCCTGACACAGACACAGCACCCTCAGTGATGACATGCATAAAAGTCAGGCTTTTCCCCTCCTCTGATGGCTTTTTGCAGGCTTGTAGGTAATTTGCTTACACTCCTCCTGGTGTTGGTTTTAGTGCAAACTGATGCATTCCAGACTGGGACTGGGAAGAAATTCCTGTGTGCAGGTTATTTGAATGCTGTCTTGTGTTCACATTGTCTGAAAAATCCTACAAATGCCACTGCCTCAGAGAATCCAATTTTAGAAAAGCTTTTACATTGATTTAAATGCACGCTGTGATGTTATAATTTGTTATGTTGTAATTTCTTCCTTATTCACATAGTGATCTGTTTTCTAAATTCCATGCTTTTTTTCAGCATCAGCCTCACTCTAACAGTAGAATAAGGAGTTAATTTACTCTTGTGCTGCCATAACTGTTCTCTTAAAGAAGGATCTTGGGAAAAGATGAGACAAGTGCTTCTGAGAAAGCAGAAGAGACCTGTTTTGATTGTGTGATGGATGTTGTTCAACAACCTGCTCCCCCACTCAAATAAGAGCAAACCCTGGAGTTGTAACACAGCCCTTGTGTTCCAAGTCTGCACTGGGAGTCCTTTTCTGTTCCAGTTTTGACTGGAATGTGTATGTATGTATGTATGTATGTATATATATATATATACTGGGGGGACTGCAAAATGTTTAGTGACCAAAATCGCACTGATATTTTGCTACAGGCTCGATCTGTGTTTGTGATAGAACAGCTTTTCTGAAGCAGGTTGAAGGTTTGCAAAAACAGTTTTAGTTTAGTTAAAATTGTTTATACGCTGTTTACATGCCTCCCTCCATCTAGTGTGAGTCCTAGTTTTTGCATTGATAGGTTTGGGCCACAACAAGTAAGAAATTTGTTCATGTCTGTGGTGGGACCCTTATTCACAAAAGCAGCCCATTGCTTCCAGAAGCTCTGCCTTTGGTTAGGCTATTTGGAGAAGCTACAGAAGACCTTCCTGAGAACCTCTTTAAATAAAAAGTGAGTGTGGAGTTAGGTGTAGGTGGTACTTTTGTTCAATGTGAAGTGGGATAGAAGAATAGACAGTAAGTAAAAAGTTTGCAGAAATGAGAAATCCCTAAACTAGAGGAAGGAAAAAGGCTGTGTGTGGTGTGCAGGAAAAGGCCATTAAAACATCTGTTTACAGTCTATATATGAAACCCTTTGTGTGGGAGTTCTAAAGCATTTCATTCCTCTCTGGCACTGAGGTAGCTCGACACAAGCACAAAGATTCAAGGTGAGTAAATACAGCGCAGAGAGCTGTGACAGTGCCGCGGGGGCAGCGAAGCCTTTGGAGCTCAGCACAAGCGGCGCTGCTCGCTCTGCTCCCGGGCGGGCTGGGCGGAGCTCGCCCTGGGCCGCGGGCCCGCGGGAGGCTGGGGCTGGATCTGGGCCCAGCTGTGGGACCCAGTGCCAGGTCACGGCCGGCCTGGAAGGGGACCAAGGACACACGTCAGACAGAT